TGTAGGGTCGCCTAGACCGCCTAGACCGCAGTACTCTCCTAATCCAGCAACGAAGATCAACCCCAAACCGCGAACCCTACGCACCTGAACGAACACGCAGCCCCAACTATACTTATAACCGATAGTAGGGGACCTATAACCCCACTTATATCTACCCATGAACCTCCAAGTAATTACACAGGCTGAACTCTGAACGCCAAAGCACCCTCCATGCCGCCTGCCAGAGTCCGCCTTGCTCACAGGCCCGGATGGCCTGTACATGTTAAGCTCGCCCTAATCGAGGGTTTATAGGGGTTTGGGATTTAGAGGTTTGGGGCCTATAACTCCCTAAACTTCCGCCTCTGCCTTTGCAGCACAGGTCATGATGGATTTTGGGCCTTCCTGATCGGACACCAACATCAGCAGTCCCGGCTTGCAGCTTTATACCGCAACAGTTTATACGTTTAGAGCGAAGAGACAACTTCTTCTGTTCGCCAGACCCCCTGCCATGAGATGTTGAGGGACTGTTGCTGTCCCATGTTTGCCCTACTAATTAGCTAACGTGCTACCGCTACGCATATTTACCACGAGGTCGATTGAGTATTGTATACCATGTCGCGGCTGCATCAAAAAGATATTGATGCATGTTTGCTTACTTTGATGCGTTACTCGCTCCGTTTCAGTCGAGGTTGTCTTTCTTGGTGTATGTATGTAAGTACGCAGGCACGTAGGTGTGTAGGTATGTATGGATGTACTTATGTATGCTTGCTAGCTTTCTTGTCTGGATTGATGCATGCATGTGCTGAGTACTGAGAGGCCTACAAAAGGTGAGGGCGGCTATCACCATGGTCTCGAGACAACCTCTCCCGACTGCTGCCATTTACTTTACCCGGCTCATGTCCAGCAGTCGTTGTCAAGATCATGTCTTACCAGTCTTACCATGCAGTACCACCTGTAGCTGATGATCGGTCCCTGTAAACATTGCAGATGTGGGCGTGTGGGGCCCCGGCCGAAGTGACGGCCGGGACGCTGGGCTGCAGCTTTGCTGCCTCCATCCTGTCAAACAATCCGCAGCAGCTGTAACAGCAACAAAATGCAACGCATAGCAACAACGAGCAAAACATTAACGGCAAGAATACGAAGAATGCTTATCTCAAGGCTCTCCGTGGGCTTAAGTTCGGTCATCGAAGCCTATAGACTCAAGCGTCAGGCAGTAGAGCGGCACGGCCCCTGTACACCTTGCTGAGCGCCGAGCTCTTGCACGAATCTCAAAGCCTGGCAGCCCGTATAAAGGCGGTGTTTCGGAACGTGGGCTCTTGCTGTGCGTGATTTGGGCGCATTGGGACATCCTCATCAGGCAGGTGCTGAGCCTGCAGCACACATGTGTGAACTGTTGTGGGTAAACTGCACTTCCTTATGCTGTAAAGGTAGCTAGGTTATATATGAACACCTCAACCCATGCACTCTGGGTTGAGGATGGTTGAGGCATCCACATCTCCAACAGGGCGCCTTCGTCGCTTCACTGCCCTTGCCGCAGGCCTAGGTGCATCCACAGCCGCAGTTTCAAAAGGTTCCTGCGTCTCATCAAAGTCTTCGGGCAGATTTTTACGTTCAACTCATCATCGTACTTTCCCAGCTGCTTGCCCCAGACATTAAACATACACAGCACAAGTGTGATGACATGGTAATAATAACACTGATTTCTGCTTCGCTCCTTGAGTCATAAGTGCGCCGAGCTCCAGACCTTGAAGGCCTACACCCCTTGGAAGACCACACTTTGGAATCCTGCGATTTACACTTCTGCGCTCCTGCACTGCAGAGCTTCCCCGGCAGGCATGGGTTCCCCCGCAGCAATAAGAGAGCCGTAGGTGATCACGGTTGGCCTCTTAGGACGCTTTTTTTGGTCTGAAAGGAGTTGCACTCTGCGGGGCTGCGAGGGCTCGAATCCGGAGCCTTGAGGACGTTTCGTCTCGGGAGACACATTAGAGATTTGCGGGCTTTCCGGCTGCATCCAGGTCGGGGTAATACTTTTCTTCGAAGTGGCCTCTCAGCCTTGAGAGCTCCCACTGGGCTTCGCTCCCGACTACAGCAGTCACGGTGATGTCCACCGGACGGAAGGGGCCTGGGGAGTCTGACCTAGATGCCCTAGCTTCGCACTTCGTAGTCGTAGGACGCAATACAACTCCGGTTCCATGCGGTATCACGCAGCAGCACCATCAAGCGCGAGAACGCGGTGAGAAAGCCCATGCATGAACCCAACGCCATGCAGAACCCCCTCCCCAAGGAGGCGCTTTAAATCCTAGAAATGCTGACCCTTTAATGACACCTTGGATGTCGCGTGCCTCAGGGCATCCTCATGGAGCCGATGCACCGCCGCCACGGCATCGGCCCATCGGTTGGCCTCAAAGTTGCAGAACAGAGCAGCTTTGGGGGTGGCCGAAAAAACAGTGCAGCATTAGAACCGGGCTTTGAGGGTCGTTATAAGGCTGTGAAACTACAGTCGCATTTTGTGTGAGGATATATGTTCTAATTAAGGAACCCACGGAATGGGATCTGCGTCGACCGCGGGAACGATGGGCTCCCTCAATTTCTTGAGCAAGCTTGGGCCATTCCTCCCTGATCCACCTCAAAGCAGAACTTCTCCCAGGTTCCTGAGGCCAGAGCCTGTGTGCAAAGGCTGATGAACGTGTTGTAGGTGACGGTGTTTGGGTGCACCTGGCAGACTTGGAAGCGTGCGAGAAAAAGGCGTGAACCTGAAACGGGATGGAACCCTATGCTTTGACTCCATCTGCACTTCAAGCTGCCGGCCTCGAACCTGAACTCACAGTGGAAAGAATGCCAGAAGATCCGTATCCCTTCAGAAGTTGGTTATGTACGGTGCAGCGTCCGTGTCCTCAGGGTTGAGCCTGGGAGCCTACAAAGATGCAGAAATGCTGAGGCACATGCTGCCACATCCCTCCTCGGCTTGCAGCACATCGGCACTGCTAACAAAAAACAAACTATAGACTATAGACTCTATATCTACGTTGGGATTACGGTTTTGGATTTGGTTGTGCCAACCTTTGAGATGCAGCCTTCTTGAGCGGGAAGCAACGCAGATTTCCAGTCACAAGCTTCAGAAGGGCAGACCAAGTGTCATCTGTTGCAGCAGGCCGAACCCCGCTGGCCAAAGATCGCCTGGCAAAAAGCATCTTGTCTCCTCATGGTAAAAGGGGGAGTGTTGAAGTTTCGGGAGGTATTGGGGCCAGTGACCGGCTGGTGGTGCTGGGAGATTTTCCCACCACATGAACAGAGTTTGCGGACCCACATGCATTGATAAGGGCTTCAGATAGTGCTCGGCAAGATGAAGCTAAGCAACCGGGCATCTGTTTGAAGCACACCATGGTGGAAGGCTTCCGTACTGCATGGACGGAGTAGTGTTGCGAGCAGATGTAGTTGTTTTGTTCAAGCTCCGAGGCCGACATAAACAGCAGCATGCTTTGGATTTGAGCAAGTGGTACCGTAACAAGTAACCATGTACAGGGCCGGCTGCGACGTTGGACTCATGAGAATAAAGAGGAGAAGACTGCTCAGTGACGACACTGTCTCACACCAGCAACCTGACATGTGAGCCCTACATCTCCAACCCTATGTCTCCCCCGTGGCTAGTCTGGCCAGGGCACCTTGCTCGCAGGCTTTCAGAGCCAGCGCGTAGGTGGCCACATTGGGACCTGAGCAGCGGGCCCGTTCATCAAGGGAAGGGCGGGCGCCGGGGGCCCGGGAGAGTGGAGGAGTCGAGGGGCCGGGAGAGTGGAGGGCATGGTCTACATGAAACCCCCGAACTCAGAAGCGGTGCTTGCCAGTCATTGGAACAAGCCTTTCATGGTTTCTTTGTACTGCGACTTGGAAGTTGAGATATGAGACATGGCTACGCACGTACCCTGGCACGAGTGGTGCCAACAAATGTGATGAAGGATTGACGGCTCAAACCTGTGCGGCTGCATAGGGGATGGAGGCCAATGAGCTGCAAGAGTCTCCTTCAATGAGTCTCTTCCTCGTAGTTGGTCTCCACTTTACGCCAAAGTTGTAGGCCAGGAACAAATCCAATATACACATACATTATATACAGAAACACACAGAAAGACAGATAGCTAGATAGATAGATAGATGAGGGAATCAGTGCATGCTTATGCATGCTTCAACGGGACATTGCATGAACCTACCCGAGACGGAATCGGCATGTACACAGATGCGAAATTACTGTAGCCTGCAGCAATATTTGCTGAACATGCTCGGATCCGTCTGCACGAGCATAAAGCACGACATCCAGCTAGTCAGGAATAGCCGTGCGAGTCTGTCTGTTGGTGTCCCTGTGCGGGGCACAGAAATCATAAGCAACCGGAACGAGCGAGGCAGTCAAGGTCTCATTCTGCTTCCATCATCCGGCTCATCGTCTCGAGTCTTTGCGACTGGATCTTTGCCCAGGTCATTCCCAAGTCAGCCAGCAAAGGGCGCCACATCTTCGGGCATTGCAACGTCCTCCTGCCCTGCCCTTACATGGGGGTTTCAGAAAATAGGGGACCCTAATATAGTACCCTGAATAGTAGGATCCTGATTATAAGGACCCCAAAGTAAGGTACCCTAATTCTCGGAAAGTCCCACATGTGGGCCTCTCCAAGGCGCCAGAACCAGCCAGGTTGACAGCTCAAATGCTGCAATGGTGCTAGTGCGACTGTCGACGTGATCTCACGAACTAACAGCTAACACGAACAAAAGAGCTTTGCATCACTAATTTACTCAGCATCCTCCATTCATTTGCTCGAAGTTGTTTCTCTTATTGCTGATCGTGGAAGTTTGGGACTCTTTGTCAAACACTGCTTCCATGTTTGGCTGGGGAGAACCAGGACCTGACAACTACTTCAGAAACAGTGACGCCGAAAGACATCAACGGATAGATGTTCATTGAAATTCGTGGTTTTGCGCATGTTTAAGCTAGAAACCTAGCTGGTGCCTCAAGCTCAGGAGGTAGGGCCGGATAGCTCTCAGAGTTCCTCCTCCGCATCGTCGGCTTCGTCTTCGTCTTTCTCTGGGAATTCCTGGGAAGCAAGGTCGATCAGCGCGTGTACCAGGACGTGACTGCTGAAGAAAACGGCATACCTTGAATCGAGGAAAACATCTTGCAAATCCACAGGTGGGCTCGAGTCACAGTACCAAGCAAAACCTACCCCCCACCCTCCCACCCACAACAAGTCGGAAGAGTACTATACACCCGCAACGGAAGGCTCACATATATTTCGGCTCTTTCTAGACTTGATCTCAGAACCGGCAACTCGTGCACAAGACGCAATTCACCATGCCTCTCTTATCTTCTTGAAGCCAGGAAGCATCCTCAGGACAAAGGCCCGTGGCACGGAAGCAAACCCATCCTTGCTGTGTGCCGAGGCTGGCTGCTCCCACCAAGCCAAGATCGACAGTTGCCGTGCACATGTGTACACAATTTTGTAGCACAGGAGAAACAAACAAACCTCCGGAAGAAACCCCCAAGAAGTGACCTCAGTAATCATGCGGGAAACAAAGCGACTGTAAAATCGTCATGGCATTGCTCTGTTGATTGCCGTCGCTCATCTTATGCATTTGGCTAGTGCTAGTCCTTTTTGCAGACTTGGCTCGATCCGTGAAGGCCGTACTCACCCGAAACTCATCCACCTCTTCGGTGAACCTGACAGGGATTCGTGTAAAAAATGCGGATGTATTCTTCGACGTGGCATGGGCAAAGGTCCGGCACTCGCAGTAAAAATCACAGCTGAAGGACCTTTGATTTCATGCTACAGCCCGCGAAACCTGCCACCCCTCACAGGTCTGCGATTCTTTAAAGCAGGCAACACGAGGCGACATACGCTGACTACTAAGCTTACCAGCCTGTAGCTGCGCGTCAGGACCTCTCCTTGGCTGGACAGACTGCAACCACAGTCTATTCGGATGCGGCAGAACTATGTCAAGCCAAACCTGACTGGGCAGTTGTGATGTGTACAACGGTAACATGCAGTCCAGTGCGTAGGCTCACAATATCAGGATACATTCTGACCACCCTTCTGGTCATGTAACCTTGCAGCTGCGGGAGGATGGAGTCACAAGTTGAAACCAGGCTGTCGATGACGGACCTTGGGTAGAGTGGGAAAATCGCCGGCAGAATTTGGACCAGCCATTAGCAAGCGCCACCACACTTACACATAAGGATAACACTATGCGGGGCAACTTTGTATGACATTCTGAATCGTGAAACCGTTGCACTAGCTGTTTCCATGCTGACACTAAGGATGACATGTTCCATTGGGCAGCAAGCTGGCATGGTAGTCTGGTTGATGAAATCATCCACTGCAGATGCCGTGTTACCGCAAACGACATTAAAGGTGATGCGGTGCATTTTTCTCGGCAACCTGAATCAAGTCCTACGCTGTCTGGGCTCTGTGCTACAAAACTCCCGCATGATTCGAGTTCTTAGCCACCAGTCCGAGTACGCCAGTGCTTCTTTCACATCGCAGCAGAATCCATAACAGGAAAGTTTGCACAAGCCGTCTGGCCGGAACAGCGCGAGACGAGCTTGATCTATCGAGTCTGATCAGAATAGCTGGTAGGCAGGTGCACTGCTTGCTTCACCGATTGTCTCCGAGGTTCTCCAGCCTAAATAAGTTTTGATCCGGATGCAGAGCTGGGAACTTAAAATCTGCCGCCCTGTCGTTAACGGTCGATTCATGAGCAGCACAACGCGGCGACCATGAAGCTTCATCCCTAGCAGTAACCCCCCCTCCCCTCCTCAAAACAATCACTCTAAACTCCTCATAACTAACGTGAAACCCTTCGCAGGCATATTCGCGCAAGCTCAGTATGGAAACCTGTGGAGACGTCGGGCAAACACTGCGACAGAGAGATCTCCCAATTTGCTTGGGCCTCTCTGTGTAATGCTTATTGGTCCTATGCTCCCGTGGTGTGGCAAGTCCTATAAGGCTCTAAGGAGATGACCTAACAACCCCCCTTCTTTTGAAGGAGAGGCCTTGTGCTTCAAGTCCCACATGAGGCTCGTTCTGGTCCGGAGGCCGGCAGTAGGTTTTTAGGGCTCGGGTTTAGGGTTTAGGGTCTTTGCCTGAAAAAAATGGGTATCATTCTCCGACTCGACCCCCTCCGAAGCAGTAGTTCAGTAGTTCTGGGAGGCAACTGTCGAGGACACGATGTGAGCCTCATGCCGGTCCCTGTGTATCCTACTGGACACCCTGACCCTGACTCTTCGGCAACACTGCCCTGGCATACCGCATGTTCAGTCTTGCAATGTCTTCGAATCCTGTCACAGCCGTGGATTGCTGAGTACCAGCTAGTGCGGAAGTGTTCCGCACGTATTCGCGAGCCTTGCCGACTCCTATTCACGGGTCAAGTAACGAGCTACTGGTAAAACAGGTCTCCGGAGCGTCTGCCGCTTGATGTGAAGCGCAAGTTGGAACGTTCTAACTCGAGAAGGTAGCTACCGGAAACAGCTGCCCGGCGTGCAAGCACACGAGAATGCGAACCCCTATGGTCCCCAATGTGAACTATATCTGCGAGTCTGCGAGATGGCGGCATTGGACAAACGAGGCTAGAAATTGAAATGCAACTCCCCTCAGATGAGTTGCAAACCTAAAACACCTTGCACGAGCAAGATGTTGGAAAAACACTCAGCCACCGCTTAGCGCTGCTGAGGAATCGGAGCTCACTTCAGCATCGAGAGCTCGCCGTAGGCCATCAGCCTGCCGAAAACTGTGCTAGCAACATATCGTCGTCTATAGAACAATGAGAAATTCTGCAAGCGTGTGCCCGCTTCCCGGAACTGCTGGAATGGACCGTTGCCAGTGCATGCTTCTTTACTATCGCAAAGCCAGGAACGGCATAGCAAGTCTCGCAGGCAATGTCGAGCTGAACAGCATAACGTGTGGCGACCACCTACGTAAGCAAAGATTCAAACCGGAACCGACACATGACATTGCATTCCAGCGCGGAGCAACCATGCAACCAAGCAACACGGACGGATCAATTGTTGGTTGTTGATCTAAACTGCTTCATCCCGGAATGACCTTCTTCACGAAGAATAGTCAACTTTCGCAACATCATCGCGGAACTTTCGCGGAGGCATACTAGTATTTACATACCTTTGCAATAGCCTGACGAAACCCACCGGCCTCGCACTCATGGTACGAACTACAAGCACCTCATGCAAGCAGTGGTGCGTGCTTGAAAACCCTACCGCAGCACACAACACGTATGATGACTCGACCTGGTGCGACAGCCTAGAAGCCCTCTCTCTCTTCACAGATCGGATAAACTCATATGTCGTAGACAAGGCGCGAGATCTTGCTCCTAAACTTTATCCAATCCACTTTCGGCGAGGCTGCGGAGGATGCAGAAGACCTCGACGAGTCGATGCAAGGCATGCATAGAGGCAGAGGCACCTGGAACTATGTAAGCATGGCGCACATGCGGCTCAGTGAGTGCATGCACCTGCTGAGACCAAAGGACCCTGCGCAGCAAACGGGCAAGCCATGGCAACATGGAAAATGTTTGTTTCCTGCTGCCCCGCCCCTTTGCCGAACACCAACTCGGTGTGCTCGAGGAGTCGCAGTGCTCTCTCTCAAACTCGAGGGCCAGACTGCTCGCAGGAGGAGCCACCGGTGCTGAAACGTCGGCCTGTATGCTGACAGGCAGAGAACTCTCAACTTGACCCCTGGTTTTGCATTCAAGTCGATGCTCAGGTTCCCACCTTTCATAATCGTTAACTGGGCCCGTGCTGGTTGTTATTGTTGTTATGTTTATGCTTTCGGTTATTGTTGACGTTGTTGTTATCGTTGTTGTTGCTGTTGTAGTGCTGTAGCGCTGTCTCGAAATTGCTATGTTCTCTGGACTTGCTTCCGTTGCCGCCGCTGCTGAAGAGCTCTTGTGCCGACCCCCTCCTGTCCTGTCCTATGCTCTGAGGAACACGGTTACCGGGAGCCACGCCGTCTGCAGCAAGTAGTGCCAAAGACGTCGGAGCCGACCCGCAACCTCAAGAAGGGACGCTGTCTCAGCTGTACCTTTGCCGAAGAGCTCCGACAACAATCTCCGGGCTTGCCGCACGCAGCACGGTAAACTCCATATACACCAAACCATAACAGTGGCAGTCGCTGGGCTTATCGCAACAGTATACCCACAGTACTTGGTGGTCCACCACTGCCATGGTCGTTTGGGTATTTCGCTGAATGGTGGCTTCCGAAATGAGATGATGATCTGCGACCGCGGGAACCAGTAGAGACACTGTCTGTGAGGCCCGGTGAAGGGTCCAGTGTGCACGGTTTGGGTTTCTAAGCCCAACTGCTTACATGCTGAAGCCTTTGACGACCCCAAAGCCCTCAAATCCTAGACCTTCCAATGTGCGAGTTTTGAAGAGCCTCACAACCTTGAGATTCTATAATTTGTCCGTTCCGGTTTCTGAGGCAATCAAAGGGAATGAACTGATGTGTCTACAGGTGGCGGTGCGAACTCCTCTATCCTGGAACTAACTTCAGGGCCTTGCATGAGCTCTAAACCCTAAACCCTGAAGCCTAAACCCTTGTTTTGCACCAGGACTTGTGCAATCGCCTGAGCCCTTTCTTTGAGCACTCCGCCCGAACCCTAAACCCTATAGAAGCCCTAAAGCACAGTACGGATCCGGGGATTCTCAGGCGCTTGCGTGTCAGCTTATGCATCGCCTGCACGGTGTGGCCTTGAGCCTGTGTTGCAGGGTTTAGGGTGTTTTGCATAAAGACCTGAACTGAAACAGCCAGTTGATGACAAGGTTTCAGCTAAAGCCATTGGCATGTACATGGTTGCAATAATCACTAATCACAGATTCCAGGCGGTATTGGTAAACCAGCAGCATCAATCAAAGAGTCCAGCTACATGCGAACTGTCACCTGCAACGCTGGCACCCCGATTTCCGATGAGAAAGCTCGAGCTGCCCCTTCCGATAAAGGCATCATCAAGTAGCACTCGGGCCCTCCCCGCTGCTTCATTCACAACGTATGGGACAGAAGTGCCTCGCGCTTCCTCTGTGTCTCAGAATGCAGCCTGTCAACGGCGGTGCTTTGCAGATAAGCACTCGGCATCCGATTGCTTTGCAAAGCGAAACAAATGCATGCCGGCCCAAAATCACACAGTGCCACCGAAACGGTGGCATGCCCGCTAGACAAACATTTACTGTGGCAGGCCTGTGAATGTTCCGCAGGCTCCGATTTCCCATCGATGAGAAAGGGTTGTCGTAGACCTGCACGCTCGGGTGGGTGTCTGTCTCTGTTGCATACCCGCGAATAAGTAAGATGCAGCGAAGATCTTTGGGCTTTGGACGGTGAAGGCTTGGATGGCATCTGCTTGACCACCAGAACACTCGTCAGGACAACCGTGACGTGGTGTATTCACGACCAATTTCTCGCTCTTTCTACGAGAGTTGCTATCCTTCTCCGATGCCGCACAAGGACAGAGAGATCCTGCATTGTTGCAGGCATCGAGCCAAACTGCCCAACAACATGTTACGGCCACGACAAACTGTGCAAACAACAGCAGTCTCGACTGGTCAGGAAGGAGGATGATTGAGATTCCCTGTATCAGACTCGGGTATCCTTGTGTATACTCTGTAATCTTCAATCAGCACGCAAACAATCACTCGCTTAAAAGGCTGGCTAGAGTATCAAATGCGAAAGCCACAACCTCCCTGCATAATCCCAACTCCAAAAAAGCTATCGCGTACACAACGAAATCCTCAAACTCAAAACCTACGTCCTAGTCCTAGCAGCCTAGCAAACATGGTCGAATTCGTTAGGCAGCACCTCGCAAGCCTTGGCTTGCAAGCTTAAAGGCTGATGGCTCATCTTGGCCAACTTGGCGCACCCAGATGACGTGTCGGACAACTTCTTGCGCTCAGGCATTTGGGGGCTAGTGAGGCTTCATTCCCGACCCGGCCTTGTCCAAACCTCGTGCAACCTGCATACTCTTCGAGGTCTCCTGAAGGAGTTTGGGCGTGTTTTCGGCTTTGCCCCACCTCCTTCGAGAATCCTAAACTGGGGGGCCTTGCCTGTCCTGTTCAACTATGCAGAATTTTCGGGCTCATCAGCGCTACCTGAGGATCGCCGGACATTTTGTTCATGGCAGCGGTCCAGCGAGCAGCCCGGCACAGTCTCCCGAAAGCTCGCTCGGAATCCGGGGATGTTGTTCGGCGCTGCATGCGGGAAAGGGCTTCGAACCCGGACGTATCTTGAGATTCCACGAAGAGATGAAAGAACTATCTGGGTGATATCAGAAATGCAAAATGCAATCAACACAATTTGACAGATCTCTGTCCTTACTGATCTTCTCCATGAAGATCCTGTTCCTGAGCGTGCCACTCTATCTCTGTCGAGCATGCTTGGTGAAGCTACAGCTCATCAAGAGGTATCGAACATGTCTTTGCCGTACCTGCACATTATATTACACATCCACATTCGAAGGGATGTCCGATGCTGCAATTGCTGCTACAGCCTGTACTGTTCGCCATTGGCCTAAAATCCTGCACTGTTCGCAATTGGAAGCCGCTGGCACAACAAGAGTAAGTGGATCAGCCTTGCACCGGGCCTTAACAGAGCAGAATCTAGAAGAGCCCGCCCATAACTTCGGTACTTTGAAGCTTGACATCCACACTCGGCATTTGCCACTGTGCCACCAGGTATCTCCAATGCGGTCATCGACATGATGATGGAGGGTAGGTTGGCCACGCGAACAGGTGAGGATATGGACGGGCATACATAAAGCTCGAGCCGCAAGTTGCGATGAAGAAGCGTGAATGAATGCATACGCACCCATGACGAGGTAACGGTCTTCTTGCTTTTGCGAGCATATGCGAAGCTTTCCACTACGGCAGGTCAAGGCAGCCAAGAGACTCCATATTCTCCGTCACCTCGCGGTAACCTCAGCTTTCAGCACTCGGCAACCTTGTAAAAATCTTGAGGCCGGTGTTGTGAACCAGCGAACATGACAGCCTACCTCCTACTCGCCATACATGGAGACATAGAAGTGGGTAATTAAGAGCTTTAAATTCGGAGACCACAACGAACGAGCAAAAGCTGTACAAACGCTCTCGAAACAGAACTGACCATGCAACCACATCTGGCAGCAAACGATGGCGAATCTTGCGCAGATGAAATCTGCCTCTTCGAGGGACGACAGATTTCAGGTAAAAGAGGGCTCTACACACAGACATATGAAATTGTAACTTGGCGTCTCAGAGGCGATGCCGGCTTGGGGTTGCAATTGTCTTGAACACAATGAAATGAGAAATGGCTCCAACAAAGTCGGCATCGTGACAGTGCTTGGCCAACGGCAACGGAGGTAGCTGACAAAAACCCAACGTTTTTCCCACAGAAGCCAGGGCGAAAAACGACAACATAAAAAGAACCACCGAGCAAGGCAGATGTGCCGAGCCGCGGAAGCCTCCATTGACTTCTGGCTCGTCATCCTTGGGCAATTCAGGCTGAAGGAAAACAGCATTCTTTACTGCCTGGGACATATCCTACAGCTCGGCTTTCAGAATTTTTATGCCTGCGATTCGAGGAGCTCTGTGAAGCGGCCGAGTTACAGCAATCCGAAACCTGAAGTCTGAGGTTCGAAACGCTTCCCTTCCAGCATTTTTTGCTTGGTTTGGTTCCAGTTTGCCAAGCACTTGCCCCAGCTTGCGGACTTCGTCCTGCACACCCTCCCGATGTGTTTTGAAACTGGCTCTCGCGTTTGCAAGAGAAACGGAGTGGACTCAAATGAGGCTCAAAGCCTCCAAGGGCGGCGATGCTACTCAGATAGAATACTAGTCAGTATCATTCTTATATCTTATACCGTACTCGAGCGGTACTACCATTACCACCATCAAAAGTATACTGGTAGTTGTGCTGGGCTTAGCACAAGCACCGGCGCCGGCAGTGCGCGTCATCGATATTAGCGGTAATGGCAGTGAATCGACGTCAGCTGTATGCGCTGCGGCAGTACTAGTCATGCTAGTCTTCTCCCATCTCATCCACCCACCTAGCCTCACTATGATGATGACAGCAGCATCAACAGCAAGAGTAATTAGCAGCAACAGGGTATAAGAAGAACAATAGTTCTCGCAGCAGTCGTCGTGGCAATCGACGTCATCGTCGTAGTAGCACTAGAGGTATAGCCGTCGAAGCTCTGAAGCTGCAACTGCGCAACTGGCAAGCACAAATTCATGGCGTTCGTAAGTCTGATTGAAGCTCGTGCAGCCCTGCGTCGGCCACGAACGAAATTCGCATGGTGTCCCGCTTTTGCCGCTGTCGAACTCGCCTGGAATGGGCTTGGCTATTCCATGCAGCACGATCACTATCGCGGCCAAGCTGACCCTCCCATGACCTTCAAGACGGCAAGAGGCAGAACGCACAGGGAGGGAGAGAAAGAGAAAGACAGAGACAAAGAGAGAGAGAGAGAGAGAGAGAGAGAGAGAGAAAGAGAGACACGTGGAGCAAAGGAGACGAAGCAACAAAAGAGATGAGAAACGGGAGTTAATGCGCTGCTGTCTTCAGCAAACGCCACGGTGAACAGCTTTCACCATACGACTGCCAGAGATGCACTTTACCTTGGACTGAGGCTGCCACTCTGGAAACCTTCGTTTCGCGCAAACGCGTTGCTTTCCAGACGCCTCCAACAGCGTCGCAAAACACAACCAGGCTAAGCTTGCATCTCGGGCAGGGAGCTTCGGAGTGTTGTCTGGTCCTTGCGATGAACACGGAACCAGCAGAGCTAGACAGGTAAGTTAGGTAAGATACCTATATCCGCATATTTGCAGGCACTCAAGAGGTGCAGTGTTGTTGAGGCCTTGCGGTAAAGGGCGGTTGAGCGTGCACGCAAAAGCACATATCAAGTTCTGGCCAAAGCGTTGGCAGAGGTAAATTAATTTGATGACGGTGGCCTTGTGCTTGGGCACCTAGTATCTGTCTTGGGATGCAAGGTAAAGGCGAGACTGTCAGAGGCTACTAGGTGCTGGCGCAGCAGTGCCTTTTGAAGAAGTAAGCAAGCCAAAGGCGGTAGGTCTTGGCACAGTCAGAACAGCGTTTTATCCTGAAGAATCAACTGTACAAAAGGGCTTCTGTCGCCCTGCTTTTGTGCGAGTGAAACAATACCAGTGCAACAATCATGTGGGTTTCCTTTATAATGCCTGTTTGCTGTCCTTCTGCTGCTGCTCCTTGTCCTGCTAACTTCAATGTAGTAGGAGTGCTCATGCTACCAATATTGTAGCATTGACCGTGAATGCCACGACATGCTCGTCACAATGCTCACGACTCCGTCACAGGAGTTTCAGGCTGTTGCAGCCTAGGGTGTCAAGGGCGACAGAAGAAGCAGGCCCGATTGCACAGACTGTGCGAGAATGTGGTGCCACTTGAGTATGACCAGCGTCTCTCACCTGGGCTGTGAATCCTAGGCCGAAGACTTCAAAGGGCAAAGAGGTTACTCTCTCAACCTCGAGTCCATGCTGTAAAATTGTCCAGGACTCTCTCCCGCCATGCGCCCAGAATGTCAGAAGCCTGGTTATAAGCCTCATCAGCAGCCTGCATGCCCCCACCCTATATCTACACTAGCGACGAAACCCCAAAACTTTCGACCCGGAACCCCCCCCCAAAAAGAAGCTGGAAGAGAGCTGCCACTGTCGCAGCCCTCGAATCCGAAGCCCTAAAAGCCGAGCTGCGGTGTAGCAGGAGAGGTCCCGCTTCTCGGCCCGCGTGTGGAAGTCGCAGAGTTCCTCCTCGCTGGAGACTTTCAGAGCAATCTTCATCTGACCGGAGCGCTCCCAGGGCTCCAAGTAGATGTTCTCCTTACAGTCTTCTCTTGAGGGTGAGGGTGGAGGGGGGGCGAAGGGTGCAGGATTTTGGAGGGCCGTTCGAGGTATACTACGTGGGAGAGTTTGGAAGCTTCGTTGGGGCTGCTGCGGGGCTTTATGAGTTGAGGGGGGCTTGGCCTCGGTTGGAAGATTTTGGAAGGTTCTGATATAGGTATGATAGGTCATCGGTGTGGTCATCGGAGACTATCTATGGAGAAGCGACGGATTCAGCAGTCACAGCTGCATGGGAAGCTACCGTTTCAAACTTACGGGGGAAAGCTTGGCAACGTCGTTCGCAAATCACAAAGACCAAGAAGGACCCAAATGATCAACAGCATTGTTATGACTATTCAGTATTCTTTCTTACACTCTCACAACTCGGTCATGCCCGGGGAGGACTCACAGTGTCGGGTGGGCGTGATACAGCTGAGATGATCCCGTCCACGACTATGACTATACGTAGAAATAATAATGACAACAATAATAATGATAGTAGTAATAATAATAATAAATAGTAACAATAATAATTCATGGGGTTCCACTATTGGAGAGCCGAAGTCTCTTGGTGTATGGCAGCTTTGTAAGCGCCCAAGACAGCATGCCCGCATTGTGCAGCAATCTTGCCTTTCTGCATGCCCAGATCTGTGCGGACCAGGAGCCTGACTAGCAGTTGACCCAGGGTTGCGGCGTTAGGCGTCTATAGGGTCTCGGAGTAGATGTGAAAGGGAATCTAAGTTGAATCTGGCTGCATTCCGGAATCCGGCAGTTTAACAACCACTCACCAGTCACTAGTCCTGGCAATAGCATGGATGAAGGACAATCAACAACCTCGTGAAGAGTCGATTGTGCAGGGTTTTCATGCTCTGCCAGTCCCGTCACTGCCCTCGGTCGCCCACGGTGGCCGACTGTCTGCATCAAGAAATGCCGCCAGCAATCGATGTCCGTACCCTCTGGAGCCCAGTCCCATGCTGCAGTGCCAGCTGAGTCAGATGCCCGATTAGGCCGCAAACCCAGTGCAACAACCCTACAGCACTTAAAACACCGGGACATGTAACACAACATGAATAATTAATCCCCCTGTGTACCTCCCGAGCCTGTATCAGCCCTTGGCATTAGCCGAGTCACACCATCTTCACCTCGCCCTTTGCCGGGCGCCGGCCCGCGCCCGAGGGCCTTGCAGTCTGAGTCTTGGCCAGGAACCGCCGGGAAACCTGGGGTGTTTTGTGAGCAGATCCCATTGGGGGGTTCGGGCGTCTGGCGACCCGTCGGCACCCCGAGGACAACACCTCATGCCACCCACCCTTGACCCAGGAATGGTGAAACCAGGGCATTGCGTGAGGGGCTGAAGATGGTGTAGGTAACGAAATCAAGGTCGCTACAACCGCTACAAGAAGCTCCTTGAGGTGAGCAGCAAGGAAGCCGAGTGCTACCCCCAGCAACAGGCCAAGCAGGAACACCGCGATGGCATCGACCATGACCATGGTGCCCGCTTCAGCTTTCCACTTTTTAGCTCACGCGTCGGACCCTAACTCTGCAATGCCACTAATGCCAAACGATCCTCCTGACTATCCCACGACACAGCGCTGCAACGACACACCCGGTGAAAAGGCACAGTCTTTTCTTCAATTGGTCACATCTACATACCCTCGACTGCTCTCTGACACTTGAGGCGCCAAGCACCGGCATTTAGACTCAAAACTTGCCTCAGGCCTTAGGAATTCCTGCTTCGGCGCTCGCACTCGGACTGTCCAGGCAAGGCAGGGGTTTCAGTTCACGGGTGCTCTTCAATGCCATGCGGGCATAACCCCTTTTGGGACTCATGTTGCGACTCGTCCCAGAACGAATGCAGCCGCCAGCCATGTCAGAGATACACGGTAGCACATGACAGCAATCAGAGTCTTAACGATACTACACACATTCGATTCATGAGCAGAACAACCGTAACGTTAGGAGTTCGGCTGAGGTTTTACACTGGGGGCTCTTCGTGAGCGGATCTTCCAAGCCGCCTGTGCTAGCTTCTGGCTTGGAGCTAGGGGATTTCAGAACTTCGCGCTGCTCCTTTTCATTTGGGGCTACATGAAACCATGGCCTAATTAGCTTTGTATGCTTCCAAGTTACCAACCCGAAACCCGGCGGCCTTTTCCCCCAGTTCCCGCCGACTTTCGTCTTGCGCCTGAAGTGCCCTGGCTCTGCCCTTGCCCTTGCCCTTCGTGACGCGGGGCTCCTAGGTGGCAAGAAGTGGTGAGGCGATCTAGGACACAAGACTTGGCGAGCAAGAACAGCTGCTGATCAAGGGATTGAAGCTGAGGGTTGCGATAGGTCCCATATGTTCGTATTTGTTGACTCTTCTGGGACATCGGCCAGCCCCTACCACCAAGGCATCACCAACATGCTGTACTGCAGTACATGCCTTGCAGTGGTGGTGAACACACCACTTCAATCTTCCAAGACCCTCAAGACCTGTCTCGAAGACCTCGTTTCTGCCGAAGTGCGTATTCAGCAGCTCGACCTTCTCGCCAAGGGAGCCCTTCCTGCAGGGAAGACGGGGGCACGCTGGCACGCTGCTAGGTTCAACTCCTGGCTGGGGCAGGTCACCTGCAACTCTCCATCCTCACTTATATTCCATTAGATGCACTGGTTACAACTCGAGGGCTCAAGCGCTTCTACTACATGCTTCAAGCAGCCTTAGGGTACCACCTCGGCCAGTTCAAATGCACACACACAGATGTATGCATCGAAATTATGCAAAAGTCGTGTGTGGTCAAGACATGTATGTATGTGCATCATGTGCAATTATGTATGTGTGCTTTTGCGCACGTGTTTCTGTGTGTCAGCAAACTAAGACATGTGCATAAGTGGATGCACAGTGCGTGTGTGTATATATATATATATGTGCACGCCTGTACTGACTGGGTGTTGGTAGTTTAAACTCAGATATCACCCCAAACCCTAGACCCTAGACTGCATGCACGTCTTTAGATGGGCAGTCCTCTGAGAGGTGGTAGGGTGGCACACAGAAACGAAGACCCTCCCAGGTCCAATCGGGTCTCGCAATTTCTGGCCACCAGCTCTTCTTCCAGGCCTCCTGGAGTCTGGATCTGGGGCTTCGGGATTTAAATTTAGGGTGGTCCGTTTTAACTATGAGTCAAGTTGAAACGAAACCGCCGAAAGGCACTGCTTTTGTGTTGGTGACTATAGGACCTTGGTTTAGACCTGTGCCTTGGAACGCAGGTATCGAAAAAAAAACAGTGCAGGGCACTGTATCCTCCACCTCATCGACGAGAGGCCCCGGCCAATCTGCGTAGATCCATCTCCACCCCAAGACATACTGCATAATCTCACCCTCTTCACCAGCATCCCATCCTTCATAGCCTTCTAGAAGTGGGTCCGGGCCATAGTACCGAATCATCACCAGGCGCGAGTAAGTTGGAGGCGCATAGCCTCGGGCAATGTAGATCGGGCGTTTATGTCGCTCCACCAGGCGAGGCAGGTAGGTTTCCTTGTGAGGTCCCCATGCAATGCCTTTCACAAAAAAATCCAGCTCGTCATCCGTGAGGTAGTATGGAAGGTCACGGGCATGCGGCCTCTGGATGATTTCGAAAATCGCTTTCTGCTTCAAGTTAATGTTCTGCCAGACCGGCATCTCTCCGCACGAGCTCACGCATCGCTGGAAGCAAGTTTCACTCAGACTTCGAGCCAGGAGCGAGTTGATTCAAACAATGCCGTGCACAAGCTTGTGGGCTTCCAGGACTGTCATGGCCAAACCAAAACCTTCATCCCAAAAACCAAACCTCGAAGCCATTGTGCCTTCACGCGAAAATGTGGAGTTGAATAACGACGGCTCCTCGCTTGTTTCGGGCATTCGATGCGGCATGTTACCGGCTGACCTGCCTTGAAAGGATGCTATGGGAAAGATGTGCGGCCGAACCGACTTCTTGCACGGTATCCATCTACAGTACCCTGTAGCATCTTCGGAAGCTGCTCTGCGACAGATGGATTGGGAGTGTACATTCCGAATTCCGGTGTGGCAAAGGTCGCAAGCCATTCGGCTGCATCAAGATCCACCCTGAACCCAACACCCTGCAACGGCCAGGCAGACTTTGGAGCATCAAACTGCAGATCCATCACCCCAAGCCCAAGCCCTACAGGCCCCTGTGGAGTCCCATGAATCCCTTCACCCTGAAGCTCGGCCTCGTTAAGAACCTCCTCCGCCAGTTTTCGGCGGCCTGCGGCCTTGCAGCTCTTGAGGATTAGGGCTTAGGGTTTGGGACAGAAGCCCAAGACTAGTGATCCTTACTGGTGTCACCCCATTCAGGTGCCAAGTCACTACTCAGAACTAGCGGTTGCAAGACAAATTCAAACAGCCTCGTGACTACATCGAGACTTCAGACCATGCGAAACCAGCCGAACAGAACGGACGCCTTGCGTTGTGTCCTGCTGCTTTAATTATTGCAGAAACTCCGTTAGCTTCTCATTCTGCTTTCTCGCTCAGGCTCGGAGGCTCTCTCTGTCTACAGTCGTTCAATCCTCCCGGAGCCGCGGAGTCTGCAGCCGAGGATCCTTAAACAGATACCTTCACCGGCCAGTCTCTTTGCAGATGAGACTGTGATGTCTCTCTGTTTTGATTCGTGCTCTTCAGACTGTGGACAAGGCATGACTTCAAAGTAGCCTCGTGTTCCTGCTTGCCCGATGAGCCCGAACGAAATTCAAGCAATTCCGAACTGGAGAGCATGAGTCCATGCGCTGTGCAAGGCCCCAGAAGTTTCACGGGTGAGCGGGAGTGGGGGCTTGCTTTATGGGACGGAGGAGGTGCTGGCCCAAAAAGACACCTCATCCACCAGGCAAGTTTGCTATTGATACTCTTAGTATATAGCTTTGTTTTGACTACAAACAGGCCAGGCCAGTGTGGCATTCTCCTCTAGCTTGCCTCGTTCGCCCGACGCGGGAAGCGTCTCCTCAGTAGGTCCCCAAGCACCAACATGTCAAGGAGTTGCCCGCAGCTTTGTCCTAAAACCCAAACCGGGACTCCGGGTGCCACATCCCCCATGACGATTTGTGACTCTTGGGTGTCTGTAAGCACAAACCGTTGCAACCTTCTAAATTGCAAGAAGAGTACGTAGGCGACCAGGACTGAAGAGCGAACATGCTAGAAAGTCTTGCCCCTGTCGCCCACTCCTCCGATCAGAGGAGTGGGGACTCTAATGCTGCAGCTGAAGATGCTTCTCGAATCCACCTCCTGCTGCTGCTGCTGCTGCTGCCCGTACACGACTACTTTCAGGACATTCTGGTATCCAGCTCCAGTTTGGAAAGCTTCAGAGGCGATAGGCTTGAACATGAAAAGTTCAAAAGATTCTAAAGAGAGCATTTCCGAAGACCTCCAGCTGACGATCGAAGTGCGAGCAACATACGCCAAGGCACTCGCCAAGCGCTGCCCGCAGGACTTTCGCCGTCCACTTGCAGCGTGCGCAGGTGTACTCGTCCTGCGAGCTTTGAGCAGGGACGTCAATGGCTTGCTTAGAAAATTTGTTTGCGTAGAAAATCTGTCGGCTACACAGGTTCCTTTTCGACCAAACCGCGACGAACACTCGAGGAAGTGGAGATTGAATCTGGGTAGCTGGTGACACTCAGTGTCACGACCCATCGCAAGACCCTTTACCGACAATCTACTCGGTCCTGCCATCAGTCTCCGACCCCATCACCTTCCCCGTCACCTAATGGCATTAGGCCCACGAGGCTCTAGACTCTATAGACACGAAGTAGCACAGCTCATGCAGTCCTCCTGGACATTGCTGATAGTCAGAAGCGGCTTGGCCAAAGGCTTGCCAAGGCAGCCTAGCATCCGGATTCTAAAGCACAGAATGCAGAGGGTCTCCGCTTGAGTCCCTGAAACCCAGCCACAAAGCAGCTTTCAAAACGGTAGCACGTCGTTCCGGAAACTGAAATGGGGAGCCCGGCCCCCCCCGGAGTCCGGAGTTTCGGACTCTAGGATGAAAGATTGCCCTGCGCATGTACGGGTGAGCATAGTTTATTCATTCACCTCAGTCTCTGTGTAGATTGATGACGAAGGGGATAACGAGGCAGTGAGGGGGATCATCGTGATTATGACCTCGCTTCTGCTGTTGATGACGGCGACCATGAGAACCATGACAACGCTGATGATCATGATGGTCATAGTGATGGTACTTACATGCCTACGGACCGCGAAAGCAAACTTAAATGTTGTTTTTCGCCGTGTAGTTTCTTAGTCTCTTCCATTCTTCCAGTGCATCGGGCGTGAAGAGCGGAAGCATGCTCGAACGCCTTTTGACGTGCATGCTCGCAGCACTTCCAATGTGAAGAGCACAGATGCTCGAGCCCCAAGGACGAGGGTTTTCGCCGTGCAACCGATGCGCAAAGCAAAATGCTCGAGTCCCTAAGGGGCGAGAGCATAATTAAGAAGAACGGGCTCTTTTCACAAAGATTTTGCAGACAGCCTCTTCAACCTGCACTCCCCAACACACCTACCTTAACCTTAGTTTCCTCAGCCCAGCCGGTGCTGTCGATGCCTACGGCTGAAGCATTGGCTGCCGGCCTTGTCTTCTTGCTTCCGGGGCGTATTTTGGGGACTGGTGCCTAGATTGAGATCATGCCTCTCTCACAAAACAGCAAAGATCCATTAGAGCGGAAACTCCACGTATTCCAAGGACATGTCGCTCCTGCACACATTGGGGTCTATAGGGCTCAAATCCGGAGCCTCAACTATTAAGAATGAGATGCAACAAGCTTCGCTGTGGCTAGTTACTTGTGCTTACATTGAAACTCCGATGATCTGAAGTGGCCTCTCCGGCCCACAACAGAAACCCTCGATGTCAGTTTCTAAACTCCTGATAGCAAATACATCCTTGCACCTGCCACGGCACTCAGGCAAATGCCGTGCATGGTTTCTGAAACCATGCTCCAAGCATTGGTGTCTCTCCAAAGCAAAAGCACCTACCACACACTTCGGGCAACCAGCCGGGCTGCTGTTTCCGTGCAGCAGCATTGCCGCCGCCACTGCATGCACCATGGCGGGCATGGCGTCACTGAAACGCTGATACCGACCACTAATTCAGTAGTACATTGCAGGTGTTCCGTTTGCCACGGTCAATGTCTTGTTACACAGAAATATGCCTTTGTTACATCACTGCATGCTACCATGCAGCTTTCTCGCTCATGTCGTTCGCAACCCCCAACGTGTGCATGAATACTCTGATGCTTCTAGTCTAGGTGGTTTAACAATGGGGCTCAGTGTTTTGTTGCATTTCTTGGGCAGCCTGAGATCCTCACGCGACTGAAGCTCCTCTGCTGTTTTGCCTGGAGCACACTATCTTTGTGGTCACCGTGGTTTCCGGATGTGAATGTGTCGAAGTGCCCGTGTACACGACGGTGCGGCACTAATGGGAGCTTGAAGTTGGCATCTTGAGAGTTAAACAAGTTAAACACTATACCACCCGGAACTGCAGTTGATCTCTGCGGCCCCAGCGGGGCATGCCATCCGCAGCATCGCGGAGCCTCTATTCAGGCTTTGGCACCAGGTACGTACACGAAGCAGAAACACCACTGTGCAGCATTTTGGCGAGAATACAGTTTGGGGTCCAGTATCAAAAACCGTTCCAGAAGTCAGAGACAAGCACCACAGAAACTAGAAAGCATGCCAAGCCCGAATGTCATCTCAAACGAGGTTTGAGACCCTAAGGCACCCCACTTCATACCCTAATTGCGGCACTCCGACCACAAAACCTATTGTCAACATGCTACAGGACCCGAGTCGGGTGCCGGGTAGAGAACGAATACGACTCTTCCCTATGATTTGAACACATATACATTAGTAATGTATCTAGCATATATGTGTTCACATTATATATATGCATTACATCCTGAGCATTCCTGAACTGCAGAAGCCCGAATTCCTTAACAGGATCTCCCCCCCCCCCCCAAACAAAAAAAAACGTGTTTCTTGTCCTGGCCTTTCGAAGAGAGCCACAACAACAGGCCACTGCTTCTGCCTGGTGTCACTTTCGAACACATGTGTCATGCGTGTCAGGAATCACAGGACACAGGAAATGAGCTCGGATGTTGTAGAATGGGGGTGGGCCGGGCCTCATCGCACCAGCCATAGTGTCGTTGAACATCATCTAGGCGGCAGTGACGCATCCCACATATCTTTCCAAAAGCTGTGCTGTTCCGACGCAAACCGACTTTCAACCGATGAAGGCTCAGGCATGAAGAGTTACCATAGAATCATTGGACTAGGCCTAGGCCTTGCCAGGTCGGGAAGCACTTCGAAAAGTGAACATTGAAGGAAGCACCCAAGTACTGTCACATCCGCACTGAAGCGACCTACAATACCTCTCAAATGAGAGCAGCCCTGCTCAGAGAGTGCAGGAAGACGGGAACTAGCGTGCACCCGAATGGTCCATCGCGCTACGAGCACGGCCGGCTTAGCTGCAGGGTCAAACTGAGCAACGAAGGTAGACTGCCAGAATTCCGAAGCCAAGACGGTTTTGCGATGTCGGCAATGGGAACCCTGTGACTAGCGCTTGAGCATGTTTACGTTGTCAATAGCGCCGAGCCAACTCGAGCATTGCCTATCACGACCTGACACAACTTCTCTTGCATGCATGAGGGTCTAATCGAAAAAACTCTAAATCTGAATTGCCAAACTAGCGTCAGAACTGAATCTGTGGCGAGAGCCCTAATGAATGAGAGCCAGTGATGCCTTCGTGAGGTTCCTTCGCTGTCAAACAACATCGCAAGCCACGCCCACAGTATGCTCGGCACGGTGTCTGCCATGGGTGCAGTGATGTCAGGTCGGCTTTGCCTCGGCTGCTTGTCTTCCTGAAGTCGCCGTCAGAACCGCACGCCGTTTCCCAGCAAAAAGCGAACACACCTTGTTCGTTCTGTGATAAAGACGATCTTTTGTTCAAGCGTGGTAAAATTTCTAGATCACAGTCCAACTGCCTCCACTTAAGTTTCTCCCAGTCTGCCACAGCCGGAACGCTTCTGACCACTGGACTGAAAGCGCCAATCTCCGGGCAGCTCATGCGCTTCTACCTCGCAGCCGTGCCGACCCAAAGCTGCCTCTTCGATCTGTGTCATAGGCATAGGGCGCCGGCTGTGGACTTGAAGCTTCCTGGTCATGCAGTGCAGCTCAGGCTGCTCCTTTACCCCACTACAACTGTTTTTTCAAACTTCAAACCGACACCCGTGCGTCCCAAACCGAAACGAGGGTGACGGCCAGCCACATACCTGTACAAGGGAGTCGGGCAGCTGGCTCTTGCAGTTGCGTATGGATGCCTGCACATACAATCCCCCCGCCTTATGCAAGCTGCGGTTCCATTGCGCAGTAGATTCGGCAGTATCTGCTTACGCACACTGGGAATTGAAACCCTCTCCGTCTCAATACCTCCGAACCCACGACAATAGTCATGCAAGCACCACAATGGGTAGGATGCTTGGAAGGATCCGACCTGAATGGGAAAAAATCGATGCTCAAACTCGCGACTTCTTGGTGCTCTACGTGCCGGTGCTTGTCTCGGTGCCCTCACCAGATTTCCCTGGGTTCTTCTTGCAGACTCACAGATCGTAGATTGAACGTCAAAATAACCAATCCGCCCTGGCCGTCCTCCAACAGGGCAAGCGACACCGGCCAAGCTTGACCTGGGTTTCCCAAGATGCTTTGAACTTGACACAGGCTGGCTTAGCACAATGCCAAACATGCACCATAGGGGTTATCCCCAAAAACCAAACAAACTCCTTGAGCATCATCTATAAAATGACAATCAGGTATGCACGCATCTGCACCATCCGACAAACCACACACAGAACCATAGACATGGGTGCGCGCATTTTTGGTATCTGGCTTGCCATGCACACGAAAACATCAGACTCCCAACCCCCTCACGGAGAGAGGAAACAAGGCCCGGAGCCGGCCGCGCAAGCACTGATCAAAGCTCCCCAAGCTTTCTGGTCGGGCCTGGCATCTCTCAAGTTCTAAGCGCTATCCAGACACGGTGATGATAGGGTACCCTAACCCCCCAGGTGCCTACTATATAGGGCCCTGGGGGCTCTAGTGGGTTAGGGTAGTCATTGGGGATGTGGAGGTGTGGTGTTGCTTTCTTCATCTGGCCCTGGTGTTGGCCATGGAGACAAATTTCGCAGTGTAAGTCTCTGGTAGTGCTTTGTTGCTTAGTGTGATTGGCTTTCGAGTGCTTCCCTCCTTTCAGCATTAAACTCATCATCCCGAGCACCATGACCTCCGACAAGGAATCTCTCTCTCCTGCAAACTGGGCAGGGCACATCTCCTTCCTGCCCTGCATAGCGGTGAGGAATGAGACGGCCTGGACAAGGGAAAAGGAGAGTCCAGCACTCACTGGCACACTAACACGGAGAAGAAAATAAGCAGATTACTGTACGGTACAACTTACGAGAACACCACAGTCCGCTCGAAGCACAAAACAAAACCCCCCCCCATGATCGTGCAGTTGCCTTGGACTCTGCCTGCCAGAAAACGACCCCCGGCTGTCTTACACTCCGGAAAATGCCGGAACCCGAATGCCCAAAGGTGGTTCTTTCAACTTTAAAACGATCTGCCAAAATTCCTCCAACCTGAAATGTCCAGAACCCTCATTCAACAGCTGAGCTCCCCGGCTTCCTGCCAGGTCCCGGCCTTCTTCCTGGCCCATCGTTCGGGGTTAATGTAGGGGCCTTGACAATTAGAATAGGGTTTTGGGCTCCTTTATACTATAATTATAACAAGGAACCCCCCAAAATAGTATTGGTAATTATTCAGGCCCCTATATTACAGTCTCTTTGATAAAT